CATATTATTCGTATTAGAAGTTATTACATTGAAAAAAAGATAAAAAATACAATAAAGAATGATTACTCTTCAAGATGCTGCGCATCATTATTCACTTACCATCTGCTCTTCTATATATTTCCTTCTATTGAAATTAGTTTTATTCAAATGATCATTTATTTTTTTTTGTTATCTCAGATACATCAATGTGATTCTGAGACCAAAAACGCGTATAAATAGCAGAAAATGCATAGACTTATTCTTCCTTTCGAAAAAATAAAATCGATGTATTTTTTTTACATTCTAGATATCGTAATATTACTGAAGACTACATACAATAAAGATAAAATAAAATATCTTTGTGAAGGATGTTCAAACAAATTTTGTTTAATGGATTTAATAGAACATCGCCAAATATTAAATAATGAATTACATTATATCGGCAATGAATATAATGTATTAAAACAAAGAATTAATGAACAAAAACAAAATCATTTATTAATCAAATTTCAATTATTTCATCAAAAAGTAAGTTTTTATCAAATAATTTCTAAAAGAAACATTCTAATTCTTGATAGAATTATATTGAAAAATTGTAATATAATAAAAAATAATGATGAAAAAGATAAAAACAGTTCAGAATACTATTGATTTATTTTATCAATAATAATAGAATTGATAGAAATATAGAAAATCTAGTTTATTTGAATGTAAAAGTAATGAACCATAGGATACGAAATAATATTTAATTAAAAAATAAATTTTTTTTCATTGTTCGTTTATTATTTAAGATATATTGTTAAAACTCTATCGTTTTAGATATTTTATGGTAGTTTTTAACAAATTAGAAAAACGAAAATATTTTTATTCTCTTTTCTTCGTCACAATTAAAAAGATATTTTTCTATTACGTTAAAAACAAATTTATCCTATAGAAACTATGATACTTACACAATAGGAAATAGATAAATGAGATATTATAAAAGAATTTGTGACTGTTAGCAAATATGATATTTTGATTTTCTGTTTATATTGAAAATGAATTAAGATGGAAGAAGTGTATTCGAAAATATATAATCTATAAAAGAATATTTTCAAGTTCGAATTTTGCATTTTCAATAGGCACTAATGAAACATAAATGATCTCAAAAGATTGAATTTTTTCAAACTTTGTTTTCGAAATTATAGATTTTATCTTCTAAAATGCTTTATAGCAAAAAATTGAATGATTATATTTTAATCTGAAAATTTACATAGAGATGATAGATTTATTCATTACAGTAACAACGCTCTGAAATGATCAACTCTAAACTATATTTCATTCTTCAGATAGTTGTAATATTCTTTGTTTTATATGAACTCTTTTTGGGACTTGAATATCTTTAGAAGAAAATGTTGTTTTCATTTGATGGTTTCAAGATGTTTTATTGTTGAATAGATATATCGATAAATAATCTTAGATACAGATTTCATCATTCAATTTAGTAAATTTATATCATATTATAAACTTGAAATCTTTATAAAATGATTTTAACTCTGGACAAAAAATCCAAAGAAGTTTTATTATTCGAGGTTTTTTTCTATCCGATTAAGATCTATATTGAATATATGTAAGAAAGAAAAAAACAAATCGAAATAAAATTGATTTGCTATTTAGTATCAGAATCTATTTATTGAGTTTTCAAAACTTTGTCAATAAAACCTTCATGAGTTTGACATTGACAGTTAGAAAAAATGTCAATATTTTCTTTCTCGTAGAGAAGAGTCCAGTAAACATAAATTGTCTGATTGAGGGTGTGGGATTAGTATCTGTCATCTTATAACCATCCACACCCATACTCACGCCCTCCTTTATATATACATACTTCTTTTTTGTTTGATAGGTTGAGTGAGGGTGTAGGTGATTGTCTGTTCATTTTCTCACACTCTCACCCTCACCCTGAAATTATATACTTATTACTACTAGTAAAATACAGAAGAATATCTCTGTCTTTTTTTAATTAGATACCGGAAGCGTGGCGTAGTATTGACTAACATCTATACATTCGTGTCACTGCTGTCACTGTACCTACAATAAATGTATTTCAGGTGAAAACACATCCATATTCAATTGATACTGGAAACTGTCGAGATGAAAATAATTGTAATCGAGACAGCCAACACAATTGCTTATACTTTCCAATAACCTCGGAAGATTTTAAAAATCATGCTAAAAGGTATTTAAGAAAACAACACAAATCCTTGATTTTTTTCTTTTGATTTTTTTCTTCAGTTTTCAAGTGTACCGCACAAGATGTACTCAACAAGAACTTGAATCGAAGAGCTCTTTGTTTATATCTCATCTCAGTAAGACATACGTATCAGTATCGCAGGCCACATAGATCTGTCATTATCTCGCTCATGAATAGCAATTTTCTTTGACGATTCATTATTGAAATGTTCTATGGAGTTTCATCTTTTTATGAATTAGAAAAGCTTTCATTCTAAACTAATTCTCTTCGTACATATATCGACAAAGATAATTCGATGATAAATGATACAGATCTAGATCATGTTGGATATTCAATTTGGAATGAATCCGTACGAGTTATTCACTAGAGTTCGGAAACATCAAGAATGGCATTGATCTAACAAATATAGCGGATAGTACAAAATATCCGGTGTCATGTCCTCACTGAAAGTTGGTGTTCTTGCGGTAATTGATCGCATTGCATACCACAAAAAAAAGAAATTTTTTTTAAATAGTACATACGACTGCATTTTGTATAGAACTTCATGGGGAAACTTTTCCTAACGAATTCTTATTTTACAGATTCATTCTTCATATATCATTTACTATTAATAATACTATTATTTTCTTTTATTTGAAAGATACAGCGCAGCCGCATATCAGCACAGATAAAATGCAGATTAAAAATCTAATAAAAGACCATAAGCTATGGAAGTCCCGATTGGTTTTCACATTATTTCAAGGTGTTGGTCATAACGTTCCGGTATCAAATGTCTCAGCAGCAACGTCAGAGATAATGGAGAACATAAATGATAACTCGCAAGGTAATTATATTAAAACTACTACACTCTACGAGAAAAATTTGTCAAAAGTTTTTTTCTTTGTTCTCATTTTTCTCTTACATCGACAGGTGTTGATTTTATTCAAGAATTAATCTGAATAGCATGAGAAATATATAATACGATGTATTGAAGAAGATTTCGTTCGTTCTCGTAGTTTTTTTCATACTTGAAATAATTTTTTCTGATAAAGTAAGAATTAAAACTTTCTGGTAGTTTACATTTCCTAACCATGAAATTTAAAGTACAATAATACGAAAAGTATATCAGGTGATAGGAAAAATTCAAGTATTATTTATTTCTACAAACTTTATTCTTTTAAACTTTCTTTTCATTGGCAAAAAGATAGTTATAACATATGATGAGAATTCTCATTTTGCAGCAAGCTAATCTTCTTTAAAAAATCAATTAGTTTGTAGAATAGAAAGAAGTAAATCAAGAAAAGAAAATTGAGTTTTTCAGAGGCGCATAGAAGTGAAGTAATTAATGTTATCGGTTATGATGTATGAAATCGTAATGTGATGTAAGGAAAGAGATGTTGGATCCAAGCACTTTATGAACGTAAAGGGAGTATGTCTTATGTCTTACAGTTTTACCACATTAATGTCTTTTGAATGTTTGCAAAAGAATGATAATGTTCGGTTCTCTCGTTACAGTTATATAGTTCTTTGTTTTTGAGTAATTTATGATAACTTATGCTAATTTCTAGTTTTTATTATTATAGCTGACTACGTCTTTTGGTGCAAACTGGTTTAAATGACTATGTCATCGGGGAAATCCTCTAAGTTTGGAAATAGTTGTGTAGCAATTTGGAATTCTGGGAAAAGAATGGATTTCTCAGGCTTTCTCATTGATGATCCAGTATGGAAGTCAGACCAAGGTAATGCTGTTTCGGAGATTCTCATCGATCATCCAACTACTCTTAGTAATTATGTTCCAGTCAATCTTGGCGATTATGATTATCCCATCATCATCGAGGATGATGATGATTAATAGGGCTTCAGCTATTTTTTTATTTGTGCTTTTGCTTCTTTTTTAATTATAATATGCAAATAAACTTATCATTATTGTTGAGGATGAGGGCGTGGGTGTGGATGTGAAATGAGTAGAATACTCACATTCACGCACAGACCCACCTTTTTGTTTTTTTTAAATTGAATTTTGTTTGATAGTTTTCTTTAAAAAAATTGTAATAAATAAGTGCTAAATTCTTGATGTTTTGTTAATTTAAAATTTTGAAGAAAAAAAATTGATTACTGGTAATTTTGTAAAGATGAAAGAAATGAAAAGAAAATTTATTTGCATTCTGATGATAACAAAAATAAAAACTATGGAAGAAAAATGAACAAGAGATTCAAATACAATGAAAAATGGATAATGAAAGTTTTGTAAATGATAAAAAATTCAAACTTAATTTTTAATGCCATTTATTTTTTATGCAGCGAAAATGTAGGTTTGAGCGCGAGCTAAGAACAAGGCTCACGCGCACCCTCATCCTCAAGATTTGGTTCAGGTCTCTGTTTTTTTATTACAGCTTGTATTCCAACACTTGGTATGAGAAAAAAATTATATAATAATAATATGTTATGTCTTTTATTTTAGCTATAGCATTAATTATTACCATACTGGTGTTTCCTATTATGATGGTTGTTAGTGGTTTTCTTGTTGATTTAGAAAGTATCTTTTCTTTTCTTTTCTTGAATGGATTAAATCAAATACTTAGATATGTCCATTGCAAGCTGAGCAAATATTGATAGAACGTAAAATGCTATATATTACAGATTGGGATGTATGGAAAAATGTATTTATGCTGATATGAATTACTGTTGTACATTTAACTGTGACTTACATTCAATTATTACCAATAAAAAAAAAAAGAGGAGATATTCTTGGAAAATTATAAAATATGATAAATACTATTGCGTTCATTGTAAATAGTTTTTTTTCGAATATAAAATATTGATTCAACACTACTTATTTGCAAGAAATATTTTTGAAAGTTATTTTCAACATAAAACGATTCTAGTGTGATAATAATTATCATATCTTGAATATATGAATAAATAGCCCGAGAAAGATTAATCTATGTTATTCTATTTGAGACCAAGAGCAGTAGCACCAAGCCAGCCTAGATGTGACACTAATGTACTTGTTCTTCGAACTAATCCAAGACGATATTCTCTTTGATCTGTATTATTCTGAGCATTACGATAGAGGATCTCTTCAACGGATGGATCAGGTTCACCAATTGATATTGTTGATTTATTGATATCTGTTACATTAGTAACAAGATCAATAAATAGCCCAAAATGATCACTTGGAAAAAGGTAATTATCCGATTTAATAGGTTCATTTGCCCACATACTACAAGGTGCTATAGCAAATGCAGGAAATCCATTTGAAAATAGAATTCGATCGAGTCGCATCTGTCTGCATTCTCCAGGAATATAATAAGGAATCATTGTATTTTTCATTGTATCAAATGTGTAACCTTCATTTTTATCATTGAATGGATAGATATGAGAGAAATGTGTTTGTGCCCATGCATCAATGAATTTATTTTCAATAACTACAGCATCTTCAAATCGATAATGAAGATTGAGATCACCCATAATAACAAATGGAAGTTTAAGTGGTTCTAAGATCTCAACGATATCACGTATCTGTTGTGCTCGCAATTGAGCATTCTTAGGTGTTTGATATGCAGTCGTATGATTAGCACAAAAATAAACAGACGTTTTTAAATTATTATCAATTTCAACTTTTCCAACAACAGCTTTACGTTTACTACCAGAAATAGATATAGCAAACACTTCCAGCAATGGTAATTTACTTAAAATAATAGATCCATGAGGAGTAAGTAAACCATTAGTACAATTTTTCATTTCAATATTGTTCTCATCAAATGATTCTGTAATAAAATAATTCTCTCGAATGAATGGACATTGTTGTAATTGTTGAAGAGCATTAATAGTGACTTCATTTAATCCAATTATAGTTGGATTAAGATTAATAATACCATTACATAGCCATTCAAATCTTTCATTGCTTCGTATTGCCATTTCAATAAACCATGGAAAACAATCTGCAAGTATATTCAATGTAGCTACGCGAATAGGTTCACTAATTGCTGGCATTGTATTCTGCTGGTTTACAGTACATAATTTTGAATCAAATTCACTATTCGAATATGTAGTAATAGTTGCCCATTCTGTACCATTCCATCGGAAACTACATAATTCACGACGAGCCATGTAAATTTTATCTTGACCTTGACAGTAACGTCTTTTTCTAGAAAAAAAGAAAACAAAAGAATCAGAATTATAACTGAGCTTTGCTCGTGTTTTCTATAAATAATATACTACTCACACTAAAGTAATCAATCAGTGAAAATGCATTTTATGCTCATAACAAAAAACAGCCTCGCGAGTTTAACACATATTCACAATGACAATGGTTTGCATATGACACAATAACATACACAATTCTTATAGTTTTTATGCAATAACTGCATACGTAAGCATATTCTATTTTTTTTCTTTTCTCCTTCGACTCAAAAGATTTGCATATGACTCAGTAATACTGAGTCACTATATAAATCAATGAATAAAAAGGAAAAACAAGAAAGATGTCGCACGACAAATGGATGTAATCCAGATCGAACAATTCGATCCGGAACTAGTCGGTTGCGACGCCATCCGATGATCTTTCTCTCTACCAAATTATCGATTGATCACTACCAATAGGCACTTCAATATATACATATAATTTCAGCAGAGAAAGTTGTAGATAAGCAGCCTGAGTTCTGGTGAAGATTAATGAACAAATTGTCATCTGACTAACAATCCTGCATATCAAACCGTACTAAAACAAAGCTGCGTATAAAAAAGGCTTGTTCTTCGTCTGAATTTTTGAGGCGATTATAATCTGTTCAAAAATTCTAAAGAAAATAAATCAATATACGTAAAATCAATAATTTATCTCATCGTAAAATACATATCATATTCATTGTACCGAATAAATTATTGTGTTTATTTCCTTACATTAATATATAAAGTACACAGAACAATCAATAGAAAAATATTTGAATTAGAACGCTTGATAATCCATACTCCGTCTATAACATAATCATTTCTATAACCAATCAAGAACAATCTAGTATTTTTTGAGCGCGAATAATAATTAAATCTTATTAAAAAAATTCTACTTTAAGCGCAATCTTTGTTTCTTACAATCATTTCTCATTATTTAAACTATCAAACCTAAAACAACAGAGAATAATTCACATTTTCTGTTACATGATTTTGCTTATTATAAAAAACGACAGCTCGTCAATCTTCAAACATTTCAAAGAAAACAATCAAATTATTCCGAACCACATCAAAATGAAGGACAATTAAAAGATCAATCAGTTACAATAAATAATAGTACGTAAAAAGAGTACAATAAATGAAAGTAAAGTATATGGTTGTATTTTAGATGAATACAATGTTAATCAAATCGAATTAAGTGATAATGAACCAACTGCTAGATATTCGTCTATTACACATACACCAGCGTGACATACAACAGCATCAAATGACGTCCTATTAAAACAAAGAAAAATTACCGGTAATAGAATAAAGGAATCCTTTAAGTTCTTATGTCGAAAACAATCTATTAACTTTTATTGCTTTCATTTTATTATTCAGAATCATCATCGACTTCAGCAAATACAACTGGACCAACCAATTAAGATTCATTTATTAGTCCTACACAATTACATACTATTTTGTACTAGCAATTACTCCATATCATTCAGCTTCTGATCTTAACGAAATTATAACTAGGTAAAAAGTCGACAAATAAATCATCAATAAAATATGATCTCTCATTTAGTTTTCAGATTCGATGTAAAGTAATATCATTAAGTACAGTTCAAAATTTTGGCGCAAATAAAGTTATTGATGGCATCGTATGTGATAAATCTGGCGAAATAAAAATAGTAGCCTTCAATGAGCAGGCGAATCGTGCTTTACAAAATATGAAAATTAATGAAGTAATTAATTATAAGCAAATTTAACTCAATGATTCTATCTAACATTTTTAGAAACTAACATCTAATTTAAAATATCGAAGTCCATTTTCAAAAAACGAAATTCATATATGTCCATCAACAACAATTCAAAAATATGAATCTACTGTATTCGATCCATTAATTCAAATTAAACCAAACCCATTACGCGAAATATAAATATGCAACGTGGCATTTTTAATAGTCAGTACAAAAAAAATAATCATATTCCTATCAAAAATGACTCATTTTAAAATTATATAACAAATAACTGACAAAAAATTGATCAATTTATTCATCGGAGAATATTAAAAATTCGTGATGAAACAAGTGTAGTCAATATAACAATTTGGATTTGAAAAAGTATAAAAAAAAGAAACCACTCATCATCTTATCATTTCTGTATATTTAGATTAATGAATTATCAGATGTAACCAGGAACAAAAATATTCGTATACGTAATGGAAAAACAAATCATTATAATGGTAAATCAAATCTATTTAGATTTTTATGCTTAATTCAAGTCAAAAATAATTTCTTTTTTTTATAAAATAGATTATACGTCTATCAATGTCTCTCAACAAAACATCATACAATTTTCTTAAATCAAATTGATTTAACTGATTCACATGAACCAGCTGTTCATTTACTATATACATATCTTTTCAACTTAACACTTCAAATACACCTAACTCTTTAATAAAATGAAAAAAATTACTTGAACTCCATAAAAACAATCATTCTACCCATCTCATTCATGAAAAAAACTTTATTATATTCTTGAAAACAGTTTTCATTTTATTTTGTTTTCCACATCTACCACACTCTACATCTTTCTAAAATTTAAAAGTATAATAACAACTGAATTATTCTTTTAAATTTATATGATCATAAAAGCATCTTAAAATTGAGTTTACTTTTACTTAAATTTTAATTATGTCTGAAACATATATATATATGCACGTGTCATTCTCTTTTGTCTTCTTTTACTAGTGTAGATGATACATAGATCGCTCCTTTCATTAAAAGTTATCGCAATTCGAAGAAATATTGATGTCTTATATAGCCAAGATCGCATAGCAACAACAAATATTCGACCATGCATCTGCTTTGTAGTCATTTTGGATGATGAAATGGATGTAATCATAGAGGACCATAGTGATATTTATCAAATTAATCTTTGAAAATCTCGCTGAACAGATTGATGAATCTGTACATTCATCAAAAATCAAGTAAGTATATGAAAAGATATTCAGAAACTAAATATCTAACTTTTCAGATAATTAAAACGCAATTTCTTTAGTAAGTGACGGTTGAAGGAGACATCTATTTTTATTTACGGTTATTAGAGTAAATATATTAATGTAGATGAGATTCAGTAAAAGTCATTGAGGTGAAGCAAATGGAACGTGTCATACTTCACTCTCTTAGAATTTTATTTCAGAAAAAAACTCGCTTATTTACATAATAAGAGAAGAAAGTGATTAGATATCAGAATGGTATCCAGTGAATACAGAGTGAAGAGAAAAGATAGATCGAGGTCGCTCCTAATAATGATCTGTATAAATACAAAGGAAAACTTCATCGGCTAATCAACAATGACACACAAGATGCGTAAGTTTTGAGAACAAGCTAAATAATTTAATTATTATTAAATCTTGATTAGAAAACTTTTTTTCTTCATTTAGTTTTATTTTTCTAAATTCAAACAATTATGTATTTTTTTCCTCTAAAAATATTTTTGATCATAAATTTTAAACAAAGAACACCATGTTACACCAATATTTATATACATTATGTTCATGTTTTGCAGAACGTTCTTTATCATCACCATAAGCGATGTCCAATCACGTTCTATCAATTTACAGACAAAAATTAATCTGTTAATCGATAGTGACATATCTTCTTATTATAAACAACTTCTTGATTCAGTTAAATATATCTGTTATAGACCACACCCACCACCAGGAAGATCAACATCAAAATTCATCAATTTCTACTGAGTTAAAGAAAAATTAAATGAAAATAAATGAATGCAACCATTGCGGATGCTCGTCCATTTGGCGACTTTAGAAAAAAAGGTATGAGAGATTTTCTTCAAACCACTGTTCCAGGTTACAAACCACTTTACGAACCACAGTTCAAAAACGTTTGCAAAAGTTATACAGCGAGCGTCGAAATGAACTTCGACGAATCTGGAATGGTATATCAGATTTTGCTTTAACAACTGACGTGTGGAATGATATTCGTCATCTATATTTCATTGCTATAACAGGACATTTCTATGATAAAGAAAACAGTTATATTTCGTTAACATTAAGTTTTCGAATGATTAGTGGTCGGCATATTACCGATCGCCTTGTTAAATATATTAAACATAAAATTTTACATTTAACCATCTAAAACAAGATACGATCCATTACAACTGACCATGCATCAAGCTCGGTATCGGATAACATTATTCATGCATGGTACATAATCTTCACTTAGTGATCAAATCAACCTTATTTTCTTATGAAAAAACAAGTAAGTCAATTCTTAATTTGCTCTTAATTGGTTAAAAATATAAAATAGCAATCTCGTTCGAAAGTAGCAAAGAGTTTGTTTTCTCATCAACATAAAAAGTTGAAAGAAGAGTGAACTTTTTCACCATCTAATCTTGTGTTTCCTAAAAGGCAAAGATTTATTCATTTTTATTTTTCTAAATTCAAAAATATTTCTGATCACGAATTTTAAACAAAAAACACCATATCATACCAATAATCATATATATTATGTTTATTTTTTGCAGAACGTTGTTTATCATCGGCGGCAGTAGTGCCCAACCACGTTTTATGGATTTACAGACAAAAATCAATCTGTTAATCAATAGTGCCAATGATGATAGTGACGATGATGAAATATCTCCTTATTATCAACAACTACTTAATTCAGTTAAATATATCGATGTCTGTTTTAATACTGAATTTAAATTAGAAGATTGTACTATATGGAGGAGTACTGACATTATAGTTGATAAATGTACGGGCAATAAAACAACTACAGGTTTTATTAATCAATATGCTCAAACATCTAAAGGATTAACTATGCGTATCGGTGTTTTATCATTTGAAATTCTGAATAAGACAAAATCATTTGTCGCCAATCAATTGGAAAAAAATAATTAGAAAAGGTAAGGCAAATTTCTCATTGTTTCATCAAATGTAAAAATATTTAAAAAAAAGTTGAGATAAAGTAATAAGAGAGTATCTAGCCTAGTGTCAAAACATCAATATATCATTGTTATAAATGCAGCTATAGGTTCATAGATGTGAAATTTCGGTGTGGTGATCTGATAAACTAATAAAATAGATATATTCATCGGCAGATAAACCTGAAAATAAATGATAGACGTATTGAATTTGCATTCAATCTTCTAAAACGCTCGAAAAGATTATCATTTTTGTAGATAAGAATCTGAACGACGATCAATTTACTGCAACTATTTAATTATATATCTAAACAGAAAATTAATTAGTTAATGAAGATTTGTATATTAATACATTATATTTGTTCTTGGATAAAACATCAACTGAATATCAAGTTGTGAATAATGTAAAAGAACATTTTCAAGTGCACTCAGCAGCTTTAGGTTGTGTCAAACGAGAAGATGATTCTGCTATACAATTATTGAGTAATGTTCGTAATTTATCAAATGAAATTGATCGAAACTTTTATGAAGATCAACGATAAGGATATGGGTGCGGGTGTGAATGAGAAGGAGATCCGCACCCACACCACTTTCCTCCTGTTCATCAGACAAAAATTAAGAAAGAAGAGCAAACAGAATTATTCAATGATATTTTGTTCTGGCAAGTCCTCTTACGATAATCCCAAGCAAAATACAGAAAAAGCAATTAGGAACATAAAGCTTGTAGTTTCATTACGTTCTTTTTTTGAAAAATAATAGAAGATAAATAATCATATTAATATAATAAACTAATAAAAAACTGAATCCATTTTCTTTAATTATCTTATCGTTTCACTTTAAATCAATTTACGTTGAAGAAATGAATTTTTTTAATCATGTTATTCATGGATGAAAAATTTGAATTCAGTTCGAGTGAAACATCTTGTAACTATTAGTGAGTTTACTTTATCATTTTTATTGGATCAAATTTCACTATCATTGAAATCAATAAGATGATTAAACACATATTTAAAAAACAATCACTCTCCTCTCGTATGAACATCGGTAGTTGAATACTTTTCCTTAAATAGTTCAAAATAGATATGAATATAGTTCTTTTATCATTAACTTGTACAACTAAAGATTACACATCAATCACAAATATAATAATTGATTAATTTAATCAGACAATGTATAGAAGATATATCTATCTATATATACTCTACTTTATACTATTCCTCATCATTCAAGGCCTTGTTTAAGACAATACAATAATCAATACAAGTTAAACAAGGTAAGTTATTTTTCTCTCATTTTTTCCGGTTTCTTTTATATTTTAGATTCATTTTCAACATGTTTAATACAATGATTTCTGGTGTTTTACTTATTTTTTTTAATTGATAGAGAATATTCATGTATTTAATGTTAGAAACGTAAATATGTCTGTGATGATCTTTTATACATGTACATATTATGTAAGTGTATTGTCTTACCGATTGACTATGTTCATTGCGTTTTCATTACTTACAGAGATGTTCTATGTACGCGCGCACGAGTATGTAAAAAAATACGACTATTTCTCTGTTGCATAAAGAAAATATTTATTTGTTCAAGACAACAATTATAATTTCTGTTTTACAGCTACAATATTCTCTTTCAAATCTTCAAGATGGGAATGATTTGGTGGTAATGAAACTTTGAAAATGTCCAGAGCACGTTCAAAATATGAGAGTGCTTTCGAGTATTCTTGCATGTTATAACATAGGTCGCCGATGAGGTTGTACGATTGACCCAACTTAGGATGATTTGTTAGAAGAGTTCTTTCTCGAATTGTAAGTGCTTTTTCATAAAATGAAAGTGCTTTCGACAACTCTATCATGAACATATACACACTACCAATGTTGCTGTAGGAAGTAGCCAAGTCAGGATGATTATCAGGAAGAATTTCCTCTTGGATTCGAACTGCTTTTTCGTAAAATGAAAGTGCTTTCGAGTACTCTTCCATGTTCATATACACGCTACCAATATTGCTGTAGGAAGTAACTAACGAAGGATGATTTGCAGGAAGAATTTCCTCTTGGATTCGAACTGCTTTTTCGTAAAATAAAAGTGCTTCTGAATACTCTCTCATGTTATCATACACACCACCATTGTTATTGTAAGAGGTAGCTAAGTCAGGATGATTTTTCGGAAGAGTTTTTTCTCGAATTGTAAGTGCTACACCGTAAAATAAAAGTGCTCTCAAGTAGTCTCCCATATTATAATACGCACCACCGATGTTGTTGTAGGAAGTAGCCAAATCAGGATGATTTTCAGGTAGAGTTCTTTTTCGGATTTCAACTGCTTTCTCATAATATTCAATAGCCTGTTTATAATTACCTCGGCAGTATTGAACATATCCAAGTTGATTATAGTAAAGTGCTTTGTCGCCCTCGTTCGATGGTTGTTCAAGCAGTACTTTATATAGTTCTTCAGCCTTATCGAAGTGACCTGTTTTGGTTAATAATATACCCAATTGTTCCCATCCTGTGGCACCCACAACCTCGTTGCTTATAAATTCAGTCAGTTGTCGAAGTTGTTCATCATCATCAGCAGTTAGTTGAAGTTCGACTTGATAAAGTTGATCATTATTGTCCATTTGTTTAATTTCACCAACTCGAAATATGGTGTGCATGGCGAAGAGAATTTCTGCTTCTTCTGCCTTGAAATAACTAACCTCGTTTGTAGAGGCGAATGGTGTTGATGAAACACGAGGATCAATAGCTATTATAAAAAGTATTCCTGCCATATTTGTATTTCTCAAGGCACTCATGGTGAACTGGAAGGAAACATCTCGTTTCGTACTTGTGGATAAAAAGTTGTTAAACGACATGAGACCACCTTTTGTTTTTTCCAGTTTTTCGAAATCAGTTTTCAACAAACCTTGTCCTCGATAAACTGTAAAAAGCTTACCACTGTATTTTGGAAGTTGTTGTTCATGTAATTGAACAATTTGCTGGTGAAGATCACGAATAAAAAATCCCATATTGATAATCGTATCGGCATCCAGTGTTCGAAGTGCTCGATTGAGCATTTGATAGGTAAAACACTCACGTGTATACCACCATATTGCTTGTTCTGGTCGATAATCACGTTGAAATTCATCAATAACATTTAATTCAGTAATATTTTTAGAATAAAGATTGCGGCAATAAACCGCTAAGATCTGCATGGCTTGTTCTTGATTATGTTCGATTTTAAGAAGAATATCCTTGAGTATATGTGTGTACATATAGTTTGGTTCCAGTTGATTCAAGTTTTCACCAGACACTATTTCATTTGCCGTAACAAAGCTAATAGGAATTAGATCCTGATTAACTTGTTTTATACCTCCCTTTAAGGTGTCACAGATGTCCTTGATATTATTATGAACACCTTTAACCTTTCTCCAGTCCTTGGTCCATTGTTGTTGAGAGGATATGTTGCCACAAAATATGTAAATGGTATCTAATGTTGGTATGTCATGGATTTTAGGAACCAAATGCTGTCCTTGATATCCCGATATAATGACAAACGCTTTTTCATCAATGAGGCTATCCAGAAGCTGCACAAATTCATCAGGTTGAGTGCATACAGTGACATCGTTGACTACAGTTCGTAACTGTGCTAACGTATCTTTACAATCCTTGCTGGTTTGATCGATGCTTGTATCAACCCAAACCAACAGATAATTTTGGGCTATGCGCCGACGTGTTGATGGCGCTGTTGCTGTAACAGTTGTATTAGATGCACCTGTACTAGAGACTGAGCCAAAATTCTCCTGTGATTCTTGTGCAGCCATATTAATGTGAGTTATAATTTGACGATGAATGTAAACTTGTAAATGAGTGTGTTAGTTTGAGTGACTACAGAGATTATAGTATCGGTTTATATAGGCAACGATTTACTTTTTATCGATTTTTCCGCGACACACAATGTTTGAATTATTTTGTTGATATAAAAAGGCAGCTTCGTCCACTTTTTACTATTAAGAACATTCTATGGTGAAAAGTAACAGAGAGAGAGAGTGATAGAGAAATTAATCAAATCCGAACATACAAAACACAAAGATGCCAGCTAGGCATTTATTTAGTTGTTTTTCTTTCCAACTTTCTCTTATTCACGTTTGCGCAATTATATCTGTATGTCACTACCTATAGATGATACTTTTTCAACGAATTTTTTTTGTTCTCTGTCTCTTTCTCATTCATCATCTTGTTATTTTATCAGTGAGGTTTACAATAATTGTATATTAATCATTCTATAGACACTGGATCAATCAATCAGAAGAAAAATAAGATTAAATGATAGTTTTACATTACAAATTAAAGTGTTAACAATGATCTTGCATTTAAAATACAGTAATTTTACATATATTTTACAAATTTTGATATTAATCGATGAAAAATGAAATAAATCACACAGATATCAGTATAATCGTGCTCAGGATAAATAAAATTTAACGAAAATAAAACATTATCAATAATATGTCAGTTGAATTGTGTATTCTACAGGAATGTCTTGATTAAAATCTATTGAGAACAATTCGTTACACTATAAACTATTTTGTGCATATTGTAGAATTAATGACATATCCTATTTCATATTAAGAATAGACTGTACACGTTTTGTTTTGCTTATATTCATAGACTACGCAGTTTAAACATCGGTAAGAATGTACTGAAGACACAAATTATCGCTCCTAGCTTAACTGTAAAAATAAAAGACTTATAATTCAATGAGCAATAATGGCATTTGGCAATAATAATACTGAATAAGCAATAACAATACTGAATGAGCAATAATGAAATTTGGCAATAATAATACTGAATAAGCAATAATTTATTTAAATTAACAGTGAATCGCATTTATAGGGAGCAATATAAATCCAGGTGTTACATTTTCATTCATCTGTATTGGATATTTTCTTTTCTTTCTTTTGATTGTATCGTATAGACGGCTCATTCAGGATCTTCACATATGCATTGGTTTTTTTCTTTCCATCTGAGATATTTTACCACGTTCTTTGGTGTTGTTTTTATTCAATGAACGTCATCAAATTGTTACCTAGATGAGATATTTTTCAAATAATACTTATTCTTTCTAATTAAACATGAATAAAAGAGTTTTTCAAATTTTATTTGTTACATTGTTCAAGTAAAGACAATTGTTTATTTCATTAATATCGAAAAAATCTACAAATAATTTCTAGTAGATATTTAAGAATGATTTTATATGTATTAGAGATGTTGTATTTTTTTTGTAAGAATTGTTAAAGTATATGTATTAATATGAAGTTTCAATATGTATTCAATAGTTTAATACTAATGAATAATGTCTAAAGTGTAATTTATACCTGTGATATTCACATATAATAGAAGAAGAGTATATCAATAGGCAAATAAAAGAATTATTTCTTTTTAACTAAAGATCATGAATAAATATTCTTTTTCTGTTTGATTGCGTCAGTGAAAAGAATAACATTTTTATTTTTAAATAATAGATGATAACAATAGTCTCATGATGCATTCTTATAAGTATTCAAACGTTATCCGATCCGCATTGAGTATCATATTACTCTAATCAAGTCAGAGTTGATTGAATCATTCTGTTGAAATCATCTAACATGAAGAAATAGAATAGTAAGATCTAGTCATATGTCCTTCAAAGATTAATTTATTGTTTTACATTTATATTGCCACATTCCATCCTATATATATATTGAAATATCTAATATTTCCTGCCTGGAAAGTTTCAGTGCATCTGATGGCATGAAAAAACGTTTTTCTTACTATTATTTATGCTTAAATAATGATTAGAAGATGAAAAATAAACTCACAATGTTAATTAACACTCTGATTTAGTTCTATATCAGTGCCAACTAATCGGATGTCAGTAGCACTAGGTATATTTTTGAGTTAACTTGAATATAAGTTTCTGACTTCAACTAGATTTTGGGTATGAATAGGCGCGAAATAAATAACATATCTACGCTCAGATCAACATTCATAAACGCATATACAAGATAAGCCAAATAAATATATATTATCTACTCAGAAGTTTTACTTGTTTACATTTATAAATTTAAAATAAATGAAGATTGATTTAAAGCTATAAAAAATTAATTATATTCATTTAATTCTTCAAAATCTCATTGCGTGACACATAAGATAAATCAAAAATTTATTTTAAGCTATCAATCATTCATTCAACTATTACTTTACTGAATTGAAAAGATTGCAACATAGAACGCAAATATATTCTTATTCTACTATAAGCTGACAGCTCATGTCACATTGAAATAATTATGCTCAAAACACATATATTATTAATTATTTCTGATAACTTTCAGAAAATTCTACAATAGATTTACACAATATAAACTATTTATTTAGTGTAATAAATCAAATGTCTATAGTTTTTGTTTGATTTAGAGGTGACAGTAAATATTGTTCATTATTATTTGTTTCATTCAGTTTTATTGATTTCGTCGACTTTTGATTTGATTTACAAGTAATCAATTGGATAAAATCATTTCGAAATGTAGTTGATATTGCAAGATGAATATAAAACTTATTAGAATAAGTAATTGATGAAAGTATTAAGAAACAATTAAGTAAAATTCTATAAATCTTCCATTGTATTGAACAGTGCATATTGTGATAAAAAAGTCGATCATGTACAATAAAGATTTCTAAAATACATCCAGGTAATATAGATAAAAATAAACCAAGTGAATAAATGAAAAGTAATATTGAATGTCTATGCATACGACGAGCATTTGCGCTTAAATTATTTTTATACATCCGTTTATGTTTACATCGATTATGTAATAAAATTGCTGAAGATATACATACAATTAATGATGGAATACCTACAAGAAGTACTGCATGTATAAATGACCATATACGTACATTTCCATGGTAAAGAGATAAATTAAAATCACAAAGAAAAAGTGTTATTCGTGGTTCATAATGAAGATAAAAATGATGAGGAATTAATAGTAAAATAATTATGAAAGTAATTAATAAAATACGTGATATAACATGAGATCGTGTAACTATTAAACGATAACGAGTTGGATCAAGAATTATTATACTTCGATCAATAGATAATGATGCTAAATAAAGATGTGATAATGCTGTTGAACCAACCATAATACTATAAAAAATCCCACATGATAATATTTCTCGGGGATCAGTTTTAATAAGTGACATCTTTACACATCATAACCAAAATAAACCTATTAAGATAGAAATTAGATTACTATAAAATCAATTCACATTTTCGATGTGTTGTTAACCTCAGGCTAATATAGAACTTAAATATCAGTCAGCAAAAACAAATTCATTATAATGAGAATTCCTTATTCAAACTAATTAGTCTCGAAATCGGAATCTTCTATCTGAGACAAAAACTGTTGTTGAACAATAATCTACAGTGTTTTAGAAATAAAAATTTTATAAAGCATACATTATATTATATAAAACTCATACAAACCTAAAAGAAAGACTGTTTCAACTATTGACATAGCAATAAAATACAATGAAGTTGGTTCCTTTCGACTAGTTTTATTGAATGAAATGATTATTTGTAAAATATGACCAGGTATACCAAACAAAACACCAATAAAACCAAATACATACCATATACTACTGGATATATGAAATAATTTATCATAAGTAACATTACTAATACATATTTCTAATGTTGTATTATTATTTATCATCATTTTATTGATCTATACTATATAATTAGAGATGTCACAATGGAAATCAAGGAAAATAAGAATGTATTTGCATACGTTAGTCAATGGAAATTACATAAAGATAGTAGCAGAAAAACGTGACTATAAGAAAAAATAAGTTTTTTTTCTGTCTTAGTAATATGAAGAACATTTATAAGAAAAGATTTCTTAATGAATCTTACACATGAATTAACTTGAAGAAAAGAAAACGAGAATCTTTTTGTTGTTTCTGTCATAATTCAAGAACTAGGTAAATATAGAATAGAATACTTATTATTTTCTTCATAATATATGAAAATATATTTTATTTGAATCATGTAAACATGATGATGTATTTGATTAAATATATAAACCAATACATTGATCATATTTTTGAATACAATTATTATATGTATGCAATGGTTGACCTGAATGAAAATAATTTGAATTGAAAAATATTGTTTGTGATGTATCCAACGATAAATATCTACGAAAAAAATATTTAAATTAAAATGAAAATCATTTATTAATTGTAATGTTAGAAAAATATTTTCATTTAAAATTTCAATAAGACGACTTTGAGTTTTCATACACCATAGATTAGCATTATTAAAATTTTATTATATCTATGATACAAAATAACAACTAGTGTCATTATTACTAACAATCCAATTTAATGAACATTTAGTATTATTATACCAAAATTAATTGTCTGATAGACATTGACATGCTTTAGATCCCCTATTTTCTCAACATTCTAATCCTTTTGTTGAATCATATTTACCAACAACACATTCGTTACCATAGGTTTGGTTTAGAGCTGGATATATACATTATATTAAACACGACGAGGAAAACTAATGATTAAGATGTATCTGTTGAATGACTTATGCACAGGGCCAACTTCAATTAATAATAAGAGAATTAGAAATATAACGAGAGTAATTATGGAAAAACTTACTAAAAATAAATTAACCATAATTGACATGCACATTGTCCTTGTGATTTAGCATGAATACGTGGGTGTGGGTCAGGATGTGACTAAATAATGATAAGGACCCACACCCACCCTAAAAATAGCGATACACTAGAGCCGAGATGAGCTGCTATTGCCATTAATATCGTTCGATCAATAGCTTGATTAAAATAAGTATTGAAGGCACATAGAACAACTGCTGCATCTATACTACCACCACCAAGTCCTGCTTCTGCTGGTATACGTTTATATAAATCAATTTTAATTAGAAACGGTTTATCAAGATGTGCAAGATAAGCACCAGCTGCGCGATAGGCTAAATTTCGATGATCAACAGATAAATGCGAATCATTACACTTTAATATAATAGAAGCTTTACCAATTACTGGCTTAATATAGATCCTTAACTCATCAATTGGCTCACCAAAAGGTACAACAAATGAATCAAGATTATGGTAATCATCAGTACGCTCTTTTTTATCGAATACATCCAATGTTAAATTGCTTTCACAAGGCGCATATAAAAACATGACACAATTAGATACTGTATTTGTTTTCGTTCTTTTCAATAATCGTCGATGATATGAAGTAAAAAAGTAATCAAGTACTACATGTGCTGCTCGTATCATATTTCTATTTTCTCATACTTCAATCGCCAATGATAGGTGCACATAAAATAGAAATTAAGAAACCGATGCCATCGACATACATTGCTTTTATATTATCAGGTATTTTTGAGTTTAGAATTTTTCTAATATTTTCTTTTGCGTGTATTATTAATCATAAGAAAATAGTAATTGACTATTAAAATTAAAATCCTTACATGTTTTTCTTTTTGATCGAAAATGAAAAATTAAATATATATTGTTCTAGTGAGAATATGATTTATGCCTAACCATTATTTTTGTTCTTTATTTGTAAAGATAAAATTGAGATTAAGGTCTTCGTTAGTTTTTATTCATATTCGAATATGATTGTAAAATTTATTGAACAGTTAGGTAACCTTTAAGCGATAATACACGTATTTTCTTTTCTATTACAAAATATTTTATTCTCATGACTAACATGTAATTTGATATTTAATTATTCAATTCCGTTTATTTCTTCGGTACTTTTGTTTTTCATTATAATAAAAATCAACATCAGATACATGTAATTTCCTTTATTATATTTTATTCATTCATTATGACAACAGTTTGTTAACAAAAGCTATCGATTGTATACGAGGATAACATTGTCTACGTGTTGTATTCATTTTACTGTTAGTTTACAATAATAGAAGAGGATGACCAGTAGACACTATTTTACAACTTCTTTTTGTATAAAAATATGATGATATAAAAAGATTTTACTAGTTATACGCATATACGTTTTATTGTAATGAAGATTGTGTGTGGGTGTGGATGTCTACTCTTTCTGTTCACACTCATACGCATACCCGTACCTACATTCACCCTAAATAATTTCCTTTGTATTTCATATATTTGACCATAGAAAGAGAGAAATATAAGTGTTTTGTGTTTGAGCAGCAATATCTTGTCAATTTCTACGAATTATAATGTCTGCAATAATATAACTATTTGCAAGTTCTGAGTCTTCAATAACACCAGGCATGAGAGCAGAAAGAAAACAACCCTAGAGATTGATCTTCTCTTCGTTTAAATACGTAGTAAAATTTCTTTTCACGGGTTCTTTTAATGACTGACATGTGTAAAAACATTTAAGCAGTTTTTTTTGTTTCCTACTGATTAATGAGGAATGTGTGTGTTGATCCTCGTTTGGTTTGATAATAACCATCTATAATTTTCAATGAAAAAGGCGTTATCGTCCAGTTCAAAAACAAAAGAAAGAAAATCTAAATAGAAAGTAGAGACACTATAAAATGAACTACTATATCATTCTCTCACTCGCAAAGTTTTTCAAGGTACTCAAATACACCATATTCTTAGTACAAATAGCAAATAATCAGAACCAATGGCAACTAGCAAATCAAGTGACACGAAAAAAATAAACCCAGCATCGGATCTCCCCACCCGTGTAACTACAGATCGACGTATGAACATGAAAATAATGCGAAATGTCCTCCTTATTTTGTTAGACAACAATATCAATGATAATAGTGATCATTGTAATGATATAATCAAACAATTAAAACGTGTGGTTAACAACATAAACACGTTTACAGATGGTGAAGAATGTGTTGAATTTATTCAAACCATCACCAACAACAAAATATGTATGATTGTTTCTAGTGCATTTGGTGAGCATATTGTGCCTCACGTGCATGACATGTCCCAAGTAGATACCATCTTTATTTTTTCTAACAATCAAAAATGGGATCAACAGTGGGCCAAAGAATGGCCTAAAATAAAAGGAGTCTTCACAAATATAACATCAATCTGCAAAGCTCTTAAACAAACTGCTCACCAATGTGAGCAAAATGCCATCTCAATCAGCTTTATGGCATCAAACACGAAATTCGATCAATTAGATCCATCATTTATGTATACTCAGATCCTGAAAGAGATCTTATTAACCATCGACTTCGAAGATAAGCATCTCAAAGAATTTATTACTTATTGTCGTGAAGCATTTGCGGAAAACGAGTATGATTTACATAATATTGAAGAATTCGAACGTGACTATCATGATCAAAAACCTATTTGGTGGTATAGTTACCAATGTTTTTTATATTCGATGCTCAATCAAGCATTAAGATTAGTGGATGTAGATATTATTGTTCGAATGGGCTTTTTTATTAATGATCTGCATCGTGATATTCAACGACTCCATTCAGAACAATTCGATGGTGAACAATCTGACAAAACATTTACAGTTTATCGTGGGCAATGTCTTTCAAAAGAAGATTTTACCGAAATGGCAAATACTAGAGGTGGACTGCTTTCATTTAATAACTTTTTATCAATTAGTAAAGATCGTGATGTTTCTCTGTTATTTGCACCACAAGCTGCTACAAATCTTGATCTTGTTGGAATTCTATTTGTTATATCCATTAATCCTACTCATTCAATGTTAGGTCTCATATTAGAGCCATGTAAGGGACATCAGCGAAAGAAA